ACCCTTTACCTGTCTGCTCATAAGTGATCGAAGAGTATAGGAGAAATATCTGGAGCTTTCGACTCTATCCAGCCTGGGTTGGAGTCTGGACTCCACCATTTCTACTGCTTATGGGACCGAGCCTCCACCTCCCTATCTGTGAAATAGGAGTTATAATGCTATGATCATCTGTGGGTGAGGAGGCCAGTTAGAATTAGCCAGGGTAGAAACGAAGGCAGCAATTTGACTATAAGATATTTGTATACTCTGCTCTTTCTAGCCCGTGAGTTGGCAAGAGAGCAAATGCTAAATACTAGGTCATAATGAGCCTATGAGATGGCCAGCCAAAGGTGAGTGGTAGTTTCGGGATATAGAGGGAATAGCTGGAGTCTTAGAATCAGATGACTTTGAATCTTAACTGCTCATTAGCTGAGTCGCCCTTGGCTAGTTATTTTGCTTCTCTGAGCATTAATATTCTCTTGTATAGGATGGAGACAATAAGGTAGGCCTTCTTATGTCTCCAAACGGTTGTGAGCATCAGACGAAGGAACGGAGTATGTTTTGTAAACCAGAACGTGTGATCTAGCTGTAGGGGGTCATGGGGGATGATGGCCCTTCGGATCCAAACCCCCATGCGTGTAAGCCTGTATCTCTGGACGCATCTAGGATGGAGAAGGATAATGCGTGGCCTTCTTGCCGAGCATTTGTGCAAAGCAAGAGTTGAGATACTTTCTCTGGGAGAAGGGTTTTCCTAGGTTTCTTTAAAGGTATGAGTTATGCCTGGTTAGGAAATTTCACTTATATGTGCAACTGGAGAGAGGCAAAAGTTGAGGTAGGAATTTTTATTGCAAACAGTGAAAGGTCTAATAGAGTAGGAGGATGGGGCACCACGAAGCCGAGGGACGGAGTTTGGAGAGTAGAGCAGGATTTCCACGTACCATTATTAAACCTAAGAATTCAAGGTTCAGCATCTGGGGAAGAATAATCAGCCATTGTGCTACGGTCGAAGACAGCCAAGTGTTGACTTTCAGAGAGTCTGGGGTTCCTCTGGCCCAGCTTTGACTCTGGTGCTTTGAAGGAGGAATCATACTATCTTTTCCATGTGTGCCGGGAGTCTAAGTGGATATGTCTTCTTTAAAAAACTTCTGTGATGATGAATGTGTGCGTGGGATCTGCCTAAGCTGGGAATTCCTTTGAAATTCTTGTTTCTGATTGCTCTCCATGGTGCAGAGAAGGATACTGGCCACATTTGGGTATGAAACTCTTGAGCCTAGCTGTGTTCTCTGGCCCCCGGAGAGTCATGTTCTGTTTGAAAAGAGCTGAAAAGATGAAGACTGTTTTTTCACTTGGGATAAGAATATCCTTCTCAAAGCAGTAAGGGCTCTGTGAGAATAACAGGATCCATATGTTGAAGCTGGCAGCTAATGTTCAGCATATGGGCCAGTGAACCTTTCAGGCAGAAATATGCCTCTAATTCTCTAAAGAATGCCCCAGTAAACTCCAGAAAGGACCATTACGTAGGTGACGGATGGCACAGGCACAGCTCCTGGGCTCTCATGGGCCCATCGTTCTGTGGAATGCAAGCCATGGACAGAATGGAAGGGTCTTGGTTGGCCTTACGATGGATGGCGCTGGCCTGCGGCCCTCTCCATCAGACCCCGTGCCCCCAAAATACTAAAGGCCTTATCAGCTCTGTTCTGTTAGGGGATGGTGCATCTGAGGGTCGTTCCTCACATTCTCCAGACTGTTCGTCAAACCGAATGAATGGAAACTTTTTGTCCTCTACCCACAGAGGCAGCACTGTGGAAAGAACACTTCCTTGGGAGCCAGGTGGCCTGGGCTCTACGGCCACCACCACCCTGGCCCTAAATAGAGGTGACCCTAGCGAAGTCACTTTATCTCTCTTTGTCACCCAGAAAATAAGCAGGTGCAACATGGTGCTGGTTGAGACTCCTACTGGCTCCCTCAGTTTGGAGCTGAGTGCACCTACCTCTGGCCAGAGGAAAGTGAAAGAGACATCACAGCTAGAGACACCTGCACAGGGTTAGGTGCCCTCGCAGCGCCGTGTGCCGCGTAGCATTTCGGGAAAGGTAGGGGATGCCCTTTCATTGCTCTCTGTGAGAATTCAGTCCTGGGCCGGGGATGAGTCATCGGCAGGAAACCCAGTGAGGGAGTGGCTGGCTGCCCCCGGATTACTACGGTATTTCTTCCAAACCAGCATTTGGACGTCTGAGTTCCCCCCTCTTGTTCTCATGGTGGAGCACTCAGCATCCTCCCCTGGCCTGAACTCTGTGCCTGATTCCTCACTCTGCGCCCTCCCTCCTTCCTTTTGCAGTTCCTTTCTCTACCAGGCTACCCACCTCTCCCCTACCTCTGCTGCTTCTCCCGGGTCGGCTTTGTCTGTTGTAGGTGGCAAGCAAGGCCGCGCCCCCAGTGGCCCGGTGCGCCCCGCACTCCCCTTGCCAGCCCCTTGCAGGCCCTTTGATCCCTCTGCTCTGCTGCGTGTACCGCGGTCCCTTCATCACGGGAGCACAGACTGAGACCTGCAGCGGCTCTGCCTGCAAGTCCATCTCCATGGCAACCAGCAGGCCCTCTGTTCTGCAGTGCAGAGAAAATGGCCGATCGAGGAAGGGCTCACTGAGTCTCTATTACCGGGCCTGTTGAGTCCCAGCCCCTCCTCCATATCCATATCCGCTTGAAGAAGCTACGTGCGTTGAACCAAATGTCCATTAGCTTTTAGCCTTCCGATTTACTTTACCTAAGAGGAGGGGAGGCAGAAGGAAGTTGAATCCAAATGGATAAAAGCAGTTTTTTCCCTACCCTAAAACTATATTTTCATGAGGAACAGTTATCTGCTCCGAGCAGATATACAAGGAACCGAAGGAATACGGCAGTCTGGGGGATCCCGTGCAATGTATTTTGTCTTATCAGTGGAGAGGAACGACAGAGCATGGGGATCGTCAAATAGAAATTCAGCACAAGTAGCCAGGAGATACAGGGAATCCGTACAGCACAGATCCCCCTACAGCTTGCCAGGAGGGCACCTGACTGGTTGGAGTGATGATGCTGCATGCTGTCTCCTCTTATGGAAAGAAGGGTGTGGGTCCCCTAGTCACGAGGCAAGTTGAGCATTTGGCATCCCCTGCTTCCAGATCCAACTGGATCATCACAGTGAATCCTCCACAGTCATGAAGCAATGAGACATGGGAAACTGGAGAGGTCCCTCGTCACACAGCCATGGGGACACTTTAGGCTGATTTCCAGAAGTAACTGATCTGTTATTTCTGTGAATCCCAGAGGTGCTGCTGTCTGGAGCAGGACCATGGCCTTCTCAAGAGGTCAGAAACATGTAGAGCGGGGAAGGGGTCACCCCAGATCTCCCAGAGGACCCCGGGCTCTCTGATAGGGGATAGCCATTCCACAGGAAAGGATCCAGACCGTGTCCATTCCTGGCTTCGGCATGGGAACCATGGATTCTTTGGTGGTGACAGGCTCTCGACCCAGACCACATCCTCCCTTCACTCTTTCCTAATGTGAGCAGGGAAACCCCGTTTTTGAATGGAAGCTCTGGGTTCCCTTTCAAAAAAATCCTAATGTGTGTTTCAACCGGACGTTGTCTTTTTCAGTTTCTCTGCAGGTGGATATCGTCCCCAGCCAAGGAGAAATCAGCGTCGGAGAATCCAAGTTCTTCTTATGCCAAGGCAAGTGCCCCGTGCCTCACTGCATTTAAGGAAAGGCCGCCAGCAGAGCAGTAGCCAGTTGGCCCGGGTGTGCGGGGCCGGAGGGCCAGCGAAGCTCTCAGGCCTCTTCCTTCCCCTCGCAAAGGGCTTCCCCAGCACAGTGAGATGTGTCATCTGGGCTTCTGCATGGTGATGGAGGAGGTCTAGGGATTTCCTGAGGAAAGTTAGCGCAATTCCCAAAATAGCGAATCACCCCGGGTCCCCTGCTCTGTACCCAGCCGGAGTTCTGTGCGTGACGCGGGAGAACAGTGCTGCCTCAGAAACCATGCTTCAGGGGGTCGGCGCAAGGCTTATTGCTTAAAATCTCCTAGGACACGGAAATCCAGGAAGGTCTGAAACTTGTCTGAAAGGAAATTGAGCACCGGTGTCTCTTGTGCCGTGAAAATGTGGGTCCTGGGTTGTGAATACTGGTATTCTGTCTCATTGCCCCCCACCAGAGCACTGGGGTTTGTCAGATCTGGTGCCCTTATTTTTTTTGTTTAGAAAATTTGCCCCATTTCCACAGCTCAGATAACATCAGGAAGCGTCCTGTGGAGGAGAAGCTTCCGATTAGGCTTTGGATTCTCCGTATGTGACAGGACTGGGATTCAGATCATGGAAGAACCAGGGAAGTTGAGCTGAGCTAGGTGTAAACCGTGACATTTAGCAAGCAGCTTTTGGCAGGGAGGGGCCTTTAAAATGCGGTCATGATTTGCGTTGGATGAGGTGCCTTGTGGCCGCCGGATGTGTTCACTCCAGCTTTGCCTTCATTACAGCAATTTAAATGATCTGGAGACACAGCCGTGGAGCCCACAGCACATCTTGCAAATAGCGATATTTATTGAAAACATGATGGGCCCTGAAAGGAAGACGGCTTCATTTCCATACTAAGCATCTGTGCAGGGCTGGGTGGTGTGGCCCGGGGAGGGGCACCATGCAGAGAGGCAGGGCGCCGCCGTGGCCACCGGAGCCGAAAGCCCTTGTTCCCGCGCAGTGTCTGAGACCCCTTAGCAGCGGCATCTGCCCCTCCTCGGTGCCCCGGGGAAAGGATGCATGGGTGATTCTGGCTGTCTTCTTTGCAGGATTGAAGGAGATGAATTTGTCTGTCTGAGACGGGGTGCTGAAATGACAGTCGAGCCAGTTTGGGCCGGCAGATAGACGCTAGAATAAAATTGGTTGGGATCCACACTCCTAGATGAGCTGGTGTCTCCTCCTCCTCTCTGGAGACCACAGTCTGAGCCCTCAAGAACAGGCTGACCAGTTGGCTCAGACTCGCCAGGCCCTTGAGCTCAGATCCTAGACATGAATCCCCTCTGCCCCCTCTTCTGTGAGGCTGGAGCTCCTCGCTTAGAGCCCAGCACACAGTAGGTCCTCAACAAATACCTCTCCTCGTCCCTCACTAAGGATAGGCATACTCACGAGGGGTTGTCGAGTTCTTTCCCGTCACTGTGAGTGGTGTTTTGTGCAAAATGATGAAGCACAGAAGCCAGGGGAAGGCGGTGTCACGTCCTCCGCATCAATGCTCTCCCTCCCTGGTCGTCGGGCCCGATGACCTCTTGTTCGGTAGCTGCTGCTGAGTACCCACGGTCACCCTGGAGGGGACTCTGTCTTTTTAACTCCCACAGTTTGAAAATTATCTCTTCCTCTTCAGTGGCGGGAGATGCCAAAGATAAAGACATCTCCTGGTTCTCCCCCAATGGAGAGAAGCTCACCCCAAACCAGCAGCGGATCTCCGTGGTGTGGAACGACGACTCTTCCTCCACGCTCACCATCTACAATGCCAACATTGACGACGCCGGCATCTACAAGTGTGTGGTCACTGACGAGGGCGGCAGTGAGTCAGAGGCCACGGTCAACGTGAAGATCTTCCGTAAGCACCTCCTCCATCTTATCTTCTTCCCCACTCCCCGTCCTCTCCTTTGGCTAGGAAGACGCGTGGGTAGCAGGCAGAGTGGGATGGCCGCCGAGGGCTCCCTGAGGCCTTCCTCCTTCCCACTCCCCGAGTCTTTTCTGAACTGAGCTAAGAACTCCAGTATGTTCTTAAATGATCCTGGGCCAACTCAGAACTCACAACCCTGGGTCACGTGGGTCCCACCTGCCTCCCTTTGGCCTCCATTCTCTAAATTCAAATCACACAGTTTCCAGAGGGCTGCTAAGGGTGCCCCTTCCCTTCTCCAGGCGCTGGCTGGCTATCGTATAATTCAAGTGTCCCCTCTTATTTCACTCTCCCCTGCTGCTAATGGAGTCCGAAGGCTCGGTGGGGTGTGGAGGATTATTATCTGAACACTCTGGGCCACTCAGAGCAGGCAGTTCCCATTGTCAGTGAAATCCAGGCTGGAGGTGGCATCTCATTACCTTGTTATCATGCATCTGTCTCGTTGGCCAGTGTAATGGTGGGTGACAGCTAATGGAACAGTATTGATTGCCATAGCATTTAATCCCATTAAGCCTGCTTTTCTTCTGTTGTGTTCTTCAAAATGTTCTCTGCTCTAGGAAAGCTGGGTTTGGGGTGTCACACAGAGTGGGAGACTGATGACCAATCGTTGTAGACTAGGTGTTGTACCAGTTCATTCCACCTTGCTTTGTGCTTCATTGGCACCATCCCACATGGCAAGGGACACTGGTAAAGAGACTCCTTTACCTCCATAGATCCTTTTCCACACAAAGTACGATAAATTTAGCACTCAGTGAATAGACATTGACTGTCAAACATTGATGCCACATTCCCCTACTTACACCAGCTGCTTTGCCGGGCATCTTGGCCAAGGATGGGGTGGGACCCTCTCTTGGGCCACTGAAGATGTGGGTTGAGAGCTGCCCACAGCTTGAATCCAAGCAGTATGGCTCTCACGAAAAGGGGTCTGTGTGGGGCAACCAGCTGTTTTCCCTTATTCTTCTCTTGCTCATTTTCCAGAGAAGCTCATGTTCAAGAATGCACCAACCCCGCAAGAGTTCAGGGAGGGGGAAGATGCTGTGATCGTGTGTGATGTGGTCAGCTCCCTCCCCCCCACCATCATCTGGAAGCACAAAGGCCGAGATGTCATCCTGACGAAAGATGGTGAGGCCTGAATTCCCTGGCGGCTGCCCTAACCCCCAAGCCACAGGGTCCATTAGGGTTTCCACCTCAGCCAGCCTCCAAGGCATTTCAACCCAACCTCAGATCCCAGTGTCCCACAGCCCTGTGCACGTTCCAGGTCCCGAATGCGTGAATGTCCAGAGCTTGTACATTCAGGCACTTGACCTTGTCTCCAAAGAAAAAGATAAATTTCCAGTAGACTTTTGCCCTTGGCTGTCTGCCAGTGCCAGGGCCCCATGTCTTGATTTCAGTGTAAAGCCACCTGCAACCTCCCTGCAGATACCAGAATTCTCTGACTGACCCTTGGATGAACCTGCTTCTTGTCTCTTCTAGTCCGATTCATAGTCCTGTCCAACAACTACCTGCAGATCCGGGACATCAAGAAAACAGATGAGGGCACTTATCGCTGCGAGGGCAGGATCCTGGCACGGGGGGAGATCAACTTCAAGGACATTCAGGTCATTGTGAACGGTGAGGAGATCCGTTCTTCCTGCTCTCTCCATTAGTACCACCTGGTTCCCCCAAATCCTCCGTAACTTCCTCTTTGGTCTGTTAAATAAATCCCATCCTGACTCACGCATCTATCTCAAGTGAATCCCCCCTTCCCAGTAGAGCCTCTGGCTTGTTTTGTTTTTTCTTAATACACTTGCCTTTTGGGTCTCCCTCAACTCGGGGGACTTCTAGTGCAATTCTTGAATGCCCTTCATTGTCTTACAGCACTAGAAACTTTTCTCCGTGCTTTCTAATAAATTCTTATTCATCCTTCCTTGTCCCTGAGGTTACCATAATTGTGAGATTAGTCCCTTGGTTCAATGTTCAAAGAAGATATTATAATCAATTCAGTCCTCAGAATAGTCAGAATCAGGGCCACGGGTTTATTAATCTTAATCTGCAATGTGTCACATAAACACACCCGTGGAATCAATCTGACATTTATAAGATGTTTACAGGAAATTATAATGTCAGTGCTAAGAAAATAAGTCAATCGTGGTTGAATTGTTTTGGCTATTGATACATATTTTTTGCCAAATTCTCCCCCTCTCATTCCTTTGGTAAAAACTGTTTTTGCACAGGGCTGTTTATGACAGTCCCAGAGAAATGTCACTCGGTGAGCTGGTGCATTTCGAATTGGTATTAACCATCTAACCACCGAGAACAGGCATTTTCAACTTTTTCCAGAATCAAGAGCCCCCTTTTGGACATCAAGTTCTACTTACCATGGTAGTTATAAGATTAATATGCATTAATTGAAAAAATACATCATGGTAAATAGCTACTATAAGCTGAATCCTATTTTAAAAGGAATAAGACCTATTAATGTAGCTTTTAAAGCTATGTTATTAAAAAACAATATTATGTATTACATATAATGATATTTTGTATTGTTGAAAAACACTGATGCGTGTTTATGGGTGACTTACTCAGTTTGGAGTAATTATTTAGGACACATTGGAATTTAGATCCCTCATAGTAACTCTGCAGCTGCCTAGAACTCTTTTTTTTATAATTTTTTATTATTATGTTAATCACCATACATTACATCATTAGTTTTTGATGTAGTGTTCCACGATTCATTGTTTGTGCATAACACCCAGTGCTCCACGCAGAATGTGCCCTCTTTAATACCCGTCACCAGGCTAACCCATCCCCCCCACCCCCCTCCCCTCTAGAACCCTCAGTTTGTTTTTCAGTGTCCATCGTCTCTTTTGGTTCGTCTCCCCCTCCGACTTACTCCCCTTCATTCTTCCCCTCCTGCTATCTTCTTCTC